AAAGTTGGATCTGAATCTCTTTGTACTAGAATACATTTGTGATGCTGAATTAGGTTGTCACATCTCCTTTGCCCCAGAATTTCCTCATTTGTAATAAATACCTAGCAGGGGAGTGCAACATAGTCTTTGCTATCCTGAGAACTTATTCAGGGGTAGCCTTGTTGGCCATGCAGAAAAATACAACAAAATCCAAGATCCACAAAACAGTGATACTTTTATTTGTTGTTGTTATGTACTTTCAGATCATTTCTGGCTTATGACAATCCTAAAACCCTATCATGTGGTTTTCCTGGCAAGATTTGTTCAGAGGGAGTTTGCCTTTGCCTTTCTTTGAACCTGAGAAAGTATGACTTGTCCCAGGTCACTAAGCTGGTTTCCATCACTGAGTGGAGAGTCAAACCCTGGTCTCCCAGTATACTAGTACAACACCACACTGGCTCTGCCTTTGTTAAAACCAAAATGCACAAAATACACCATGCAAGCTTTTGAAGCTTCACTGGCTTCTTCAATAGGCAAAGAGACAGTAGAATCATACAGGAGAAGAAAAGTGATAATGTCAGAGTCACAGGCCTACATTTTTATCTCAGATGTTATTTCTGTTGTTAGTTAAGATAGTCTGGAGGGATCTCAATGCAGGCAGAGGCCACTGACACCCAGTCTGTCCTTATCCTATGCAAAGCTAACTGCCCCTTTCTTAGGCATAGTTCATTGAATTGAAGAGTGTGACTTTCCCAAGATCACCCAGTGGGTTTCCATGGCTGAATGTGAATTCGAACCCTGGTCTTCAGAGTCATAGTCCAATGCTCAAACCACAACACCACCCTGGTTCTCCCGAAGATCCAGCCTGGATTTCAAACCTGGAGAGTTTAAATGGATGCATATGAACACATCTGTATGCGTTGCACAAAGCAACATAGAGTCAGAACAGAAAGGAGAATGCACATGCTGTGCCTGGTATATAGGGGATGCTTTGCCCTCTATTGATATAGGAACTGCTTTTTTCTTCTTCTTTAAATAGGATCATATTTTTAGAGTGACTTGCAAGCATATTCTCCTGCTATAAAGGAGTCTGATTTAATATGTAGCAACATTTCTCATCCTAATTTTAATGGCAGAAAGGAGAGCATCTTTGTTCTTTGGCTCTTTATATTCTCTTTTCATTTGATAAAAAATGACTTTGCCATATGCTGGTAAAATATTGCAAAAATATTTTGATATGATGAAAAATGCAGGGCCCATCAAGATCATTTGCAAATCTCCATCTGTTTTATCACAATGGCTGTTTAGAGTTATAAGAAGAAAGGAAGAGACTGTGCTTGGCATTCATGAATGGGGAACTATTGCATAGGGAGAAAGCTGAGTTCTCAGCTATGATGCTCACATCTAGACTTCTTGGCATCCTGATTCTATGCATATTAATGCAGAAATGATGACTCATTGTGATCGCTAGGGTTTAATGTAGGAATGTATATACCAGATTGCATCCTTAGCATCACAATCTAAATAAAGGCAGCATTTGTAACTGTAGGATCTACAAAAATTGGGGTTATATGCAGTTCTCTTCCAAATGTTGACCAGAAATGCTTGAAAAAGTTACTTCTTTCAACCATAGCTCCCAAATCCAGTGATGTTGATTGAACTACAATTCAAAGCATACACCAAATAAGTAATGTTTCCAAGCTCTGTTGATGTGTTTGAAATTATGCTGGTGTGTTTCTTGAAAGACTGGACTACTGAGGGGAAAATAGCACAGTTGGAGACCCAGCTTTGCACATAGAAGGCCCCAGGTTCAATCTCTGGCATCTCTAGTTAAAAGGGACAGTTAGAAAATGATGGGAAAGATCTCTGCATGATATTCTGGGCCAGAAGTCCCAGCTAGAACAGCCTTGTTGAATCAATGGGTTTTACTTAAGCATAAATTCATCATTCAATAATCAATTCAGTGGGTCTAATCCAGTGCTTCTCCATTATTTTCTGTCATGCCCCCCCTAGGAAGAAGAAAACATTTCGCGCCCCTCTGCGCGACTGTAAATAGTCACACGGGCGGGTTTGGCCAATCAGGATAGAGCACATTGGGCTGCTACTGGGGCTGTGCTGGGACAATCTCCAGTGTTCGCGCCCCCTTTTACGGAGCCTTGAGCCCCCCCTGGGGGGCGCGCCCCACTATTTGAGAAGCACTGGTCTACTCTATGAAAAGGAGCGATGCCACAAGAGAGCTGGTGGCATTTACAGTAGGCAATGATGAGCTTTTGTTGTTATGTGCCTTCAAGTCAACTTTGATCTCGGGTTTTCTTGGCAGGTTCTATTCTTAGGAGGTTTGCTGTTGCCTTCCTCTAAGACTGGGAGAGTGTGACTTGCTCAGAGTCACCCAGGGGGTTTCCAGGGCTGAACAGAGATTTGAACCCTGGTCTCTTGGAGTCCAGCACTCAAACCACTATGCAACATTGGCTCTCAATTGTGGACAAATATTTTGACCAACAGCGAGGCAGCTTCCTGTATATGGCACACATACTTACCCCCCCTCCATTGTTGTGGTCTGTGGAACTGAGCCAGAAAGTTCCATCTATCCACCACAACCACAATTGGTAACTGTTATTGAAGCCATTGCTTTATTTGCATCTCTTATTTCTAGCCCCCAAAATGACTTTTAATGGTTCTAGACAGTACTGAAGTTGGAATGAAACGTGCTGGTCTTTGACATATAAATCCTGATTAGAGTCCTCCTCCAAAGAGCAATTTCCCCTCCTTGTGATATATCAAGGTTTGGCTTGGTGTTGATGTGTGCATAGAGCTATCTCCTTTTTTTAAAAAAAAATCTGCACAAAATCTGGACTGCCTATACATGTATTAGGGTTTGGGTCATGTGTCGTCTGTACAGAACAACCCTAGAAAGGAGGGGGAAAGGGCCTTTTGTCCCATACAGAACAGGCCTAAGTTTAAAAGAGCAAGCCATGTCACAACAAGTTTATGTTCATGTTTTCAGTTGGGATGCTGGGCAGCGCACCATATTTCTGTGATTGCAATCTAAAAAAATTCTTGTGCATAGGTATTTCCCTGATTCACATTCTTCTGTGAGTTGGTTTGACCTTTCATTTTTCTCTGAGCAATGTCCAGTTTTACACAGAGAATTCCTATCATTAATTTTGGAAATAGCAAATGAGCCATTTACTATGACTGTGGCTTTTCACGCCTTTTGCTTGCATGCATCTTTTCCCCATTTAGTTCAGCTGCGCCTTTGATGGATTGTGTTTGCAGCTTACTAACTTGTTTACCAAAAAAGAAAAATAAATAAATTGGGAGGGGAGGAGAGGGATAAGAGCCACAAAACAGAGTTTATAGGAGAGTGAAAGGATCCTCTCTCTACCCTGGGAGAGGAACCTCTTTAGACTTTTATTCATTCCAATTTCCTCAGACTTCTGACAGGTTGCATCTGCTCATTCTTTGAGGTTAATTAACTATGGGCATCTTATCATTCCATATCTTAGTTCTGCTAATGGAATTGGATATGGTCAATGCTGACTGTATGGCATAGCCCAGTTAATACCTCTAAAATGAAGATTTTAAAAATAATACACAAGCACACTTATATATTGAGATGTTTCAGGAATTTAAGGGGAAGGGAAAGCCTCTACCTGAAATGCTTTCAAGGACCAGGGAAAAAACAGTAAGCCTGGTATTGTCCCAATCCTGCAAAACAAACAAACACAACACCTCAACTCTCTATCCTGTGGCTCAAGGCAAAAGAAACTATAAAAAAGATATTGTCTGCATCTGATTTGCAATTTTGTGAGCTATTTAGCCTTATCTGTCAAACATCTCAGGTGCCAGAACAAACTACAGATCCCAGGATTCAAGAGGATGGAGCCATGGCAATTAAAGCTGTATCAATCTGCAATATTTGTGCACTGCAGATGCAACGAAAGACAGAAGCTAAAAGGGATGAATCCAGCTCCAACTGGACCATTTTTTCCAAATGAGGATTCTGGCAATTTGTTGTTATGTGTCATCAAGCTGATTATCCTACCATATCAGATGGCTTTCATGGCAAAAGTTATTCAGTTTTGCTATTACCTCCCTCTACTCAAGGTCACCCAGTGGATTTCCATAGCTGAGTAGGGACCTGAACCTTGGTCTTACAGAGCTCTAGTCCAACAGTTAAACTACACTATATTGGCTCCCATGACATGATTTCCCACCCCACTCCCAATTATTATTATTATTATTATTATTATTATTATTATTATTATTATTCTGTTTGTTTATATCCCACCTTCCTCCCTGTACAGGGACTCAAGGTGGCTAACAAATTTTAAACAGTATAAAACATTAAAAATACAAAGTTTAAAAAACAATTAAAATTCAATTAAAAACATTACATTATTAAAATTTAAAAATTTAAAACTATTTAAAACAAAAACAGCACCCATATCAATATGCGAAGGCCTGGCAGCGTAAAAACATTTTTATTTGCCATCAAAAAGAAAGCAAAGATGGAGCCAGAGCTTAGGAGCAGCCACTGAGAAGGCCCTTTTTTTTGTTCTCACCAAACACACCTGAGAGTGTAGCGGGACAGAGAGGAGGGCCTTTCCAGATGATCTCAATACTCTGGTGGGCTCTTACAGGGAGATCCGGTCCTTCAAATAGCCTGGACCCAAGCCATATAGGGCTTTATAGGTCAAAATCAGCACTTTGAGTTGTGCCCAAAAACAGACTGGCTGCCAACTTTTAAACCACTACACCATGAGGACACTAATAGTCATGTAATACAGCAGGAAAAGTTCCCCAAAGCCTGCAAATGATCCCCTCTCATTGATATTGCCTTCATCTGCTTTGGGTAAGTCCCTTTGCCTTGGGACAGAGGGAGGTGGATGAGGAATTAATTCACAATTCTCAAGTCCCCAAAAGATCTTTGTATACATTCATTTGAAATATGTGCAAAGCTTCAACCCTTTTCAGGGAGAACAGAGGGATTATTTTGCATCCATGTTTGCATACTGAGAGCCAGCATGGTGTAGTGGTTTGGATGCTGGACTAAGATTCTTGAGAACAGGGTTTGAATCCCTGCTCAGCCATGGAAACCCGTTGGGTGACCTTCAGCAATTCATACTCTCTCAGCCTTAGAGGAAGGCAAAGGCAAATCCCCTCTAAACAAAATTTGCAAATAAACCCCCCAGATAGGTGGTTCTTAAGGTCACTATAAGTTGAAAATGACTTGAAGACACACAAGAACATTACAGTGTGGCTCCTGTATCAATGGGAGATATGTTCTCAGACCTACTACAGACAATGAGAATTGTGGATTTCTGCCGGAAGTTGACCATAGAATCACCCTGTAGGATCTCTGGTATGGATCTCCCTGAGAACCTCCAGATGCCTAGGGAGACACTTCTTTTCTGGATGATGGTAAGTGAAACCACAATTACCGTTTTCATGGATACAAAGGTAGGACTGTACAAACAGATAAATCAGTGGAATTATGTGGTCAACTTCTGTCAGAAATATAGCATTCACTGGACCTTATCACACGCGGCCCACAAAGTGATAACAAAGTGAAATAAGAATAAATCAAGTAATAATAATAATAATAATAATAATAATAATAATAAATTTTATTTGTAACCCGCCCCTCTGCAGAGCAATCGGGGCAGCGTACAACAAGTTAAAATACAACAATTAAAATCGAAATTCTTATTCCCTCCACCCACTACCCTCCCCCTTAAAACAGTATTAAACCTAATGAGATTAAAATCTACATATAACAAATATAAAATGTTAACAAAAACAACAACAACATGCCTCCCTCGGTAGAGAGACCAGGGATAAAGTGGCTCCGGTAATAAACCGGACGAATAATAATAAACCGGTAATAAACTCCGGTAATAAACCAGACGAGTAATAAACTGGACGAAACCCCACAATACGCAAATGGCTATCACACG